TCTGGCACCCAGACAGTTCATATTACCACTGTTTCACACATGGTAATAGTTGTGGGTGAGCCCTCTCTCCTACACTGTAAGCACAGGACGTTTCCCTCACGGCGTTCAGCCTCCATCCTGGACACTGGCTTGCTGTACTAGGATACGTTTTACTTACGGAGAATGATAAGGCTGTGGAACTTTCTGCAGTCCTGTCTCCGTCTCCAACCTGACATTCCAGCTGCATGACTCCTCACCTCAGTCTGTCAGCCCCCTGTTCTGTCTCTGTATAAATCTTTGTGGGGGCAAAGTCGATCCTTTTATTGTGAGGAGCAACTTTGCAAAGCTCAGGAGTTAAATATTCATATTCAGGAAAGAGGTTTCTGGATTGAGTGAGAGGCAGAATAATTCCTCTTATAAATACAATACAGTTGACCCTTGAGCAATGTGGGGGTTAGAGGCACCCCCTCCAGTCAGAAATCCCCATATAACTTTTGACTCCCCAAAACTTACTACTGTTTTGAAAACATTCTGTGTATAAGTGGACCTAAGCAGTTCAAACCCATGTTGTTCAGGGGTGAACTGCGTTCATAAATTAGACTCTGATCCAACCAAGTGCCCAACATAGCTTATTGCAAACATTAACTATTTCATTTTGTTTATAACCAAATGTATCCTTTCTTTAATCCCATGTATTCATGAATGGAATATAAGGATATCCAAAATTAGTTACTAGACTGATAAAAAATTTAACAGTGATTGCTTGGTTTATTATGACTGTATGAGCTATCTGTTAAAGACAGTATAAGAACCCTTCAGTTTATTTTAAAAGAAAAAACATACCAACAGAAACTTTCCATCCAGTTTGAAAGGTAAAAAAAGAAGTGCATCAGATCTTAGGAAGTTTCAGGATAGAAATTGCTGTGGTTTTAAAGCTCTTATTAATCTAATGTTGCTTTATCTGAATGCTCAGGCCTTATGTGACAAGAGTAATCTAGTCGGTCCTTCTATGTATCTTTTTCTCCATTTTTTTTATCTTATTTATTTATTTATTTTTAAAATTCTTTATTAGTTAAGGTATTACAAATGTGTCCTCATCCCCTTGCCCCCTCCCTCCCCTACTTTCCCTCTGGGGATTAATAGTCTGATCCCTGTTTCTCTGTCTTTGGATCTGTCCCTGTTCATCAGTCTATGTTGTTCTCTATATTCCACAAATGAGTGAAATCATGAGGTATTTATCTTTCTCTGACTCGCTTATTTCACTTAGCATAATGCTCTCCAGTTCCACCCATGCTGTTGCAAATGGCAAGAGTTCCTTC